AATTCAGTAGCAAAAGCTGTTCACGTGCCCCAGGCAACAAAATCCAACATAATCAAAAAAGGATCTTTGTCTGTAAAAGCAACATAAGTCATATTTACTCAAGTTGTTTCCACAAAATATCAGTTCAACTTTTCCATACCTCAAGGGTACGGTTTTGTGTCGTTATATGAAAGTTGAGTCTAACTAAAACTGCTTACTAAATGGTATTAAGCATCATATGTAATATTCCAAATATTTTGATAGAGCATTACAGATTTTAAGAAGTGTAGTAATTTTTAATGCACATAATTACAATTCGAATGTCACAAGGGCCTCCTGAAGTTTGTAAAAACCGTGATTTTAATTCCATTGTCACTTCCAAATCATTTGATGTACAGTCATAATATTTGGCATACAGCTTCTCAATGAATAAGTCTATGATTCTAATATAATAGAATTGATATATTGCGAAAATTGTGTATTTCATTTTGCCAAATATCTTGTTTTGAAAATCATAATTTTTGTAATACGATGCTGTACTGCCAAATGAACTGACGCTTATGTAAATTTTTTATATAATAATCATAGATCTGATAATGGTCTATCATTATAGACAGATAACTGTCAATATGTTTTATAAATTCAATAGAAATCATCGAAGTAGTAATGCCTATCATATTATGAACTGTTAACACTGTGAATGTAATTTTACAAATAGTTACTAGATGGCAGATATGACATGTTAATATTGTTATTGTAATTATTAGATTTGTTTGTTTTATAATTCACTAGATGGCACTGACGTGTTTTGTTAGTAAATACAACTGAACCAAATCAGTAACTGAAGATGTCTGTTTCAGGAAACTTCATATTTGTCGAACTGTATAAGTTTTTCTTAAAAGTTTCTCAATCTTTCAATGTATTAACTATAGAAGAACTTACTGTTTCATTGCTACTACATTTTATCCGGTAACAAAAAATATATATAATCAATGATAAACAATGAAGTCATGATAAAAAAAATGAATATTCCAGGCAGGATAAAAATCATGCTTCTTAGTGCACAGGGAATAATAGTATCAATTAACATATAGCTAATTTGTTGTCTATATATATATGTTTATGTTGTCCTTGTGTTTCAATGTTCTTCTTGGTTATGTTATACTACAATAAAATAGTCATAACAATGAAATTACTTGCTGTAATTAGACATTTTATGAAATGTACAATTGTAGGAAATGGCTATGACATAAATGCAAATATAAGTTTCTAGTATTTTCATCAATGTATAAGTTCATGTTCTGTAGCTTTCAGCGTATCTTATATGTGCTATCACACCATTATATTCATTATTAGTTAAAGAATTATGTCATAATATTTGATAGAAACATTAAAATTCATCGAATACTGAGGAAAGTAATGCTAAACTTTTTTTACATTTCCACCACACAATTACATTCAGAAGATTCTTGTTCTCAAGGTCAATTCCACATTATTTTGATTTTGATTTTCACTAAAGTATTTTTCAGTACATGTGACTAATTACATATAGGCTGGGAGAAGTTAGAAAAAGTGGGATTTTGAATACAGACAAAGTTTTATGACCGATTTTATTTAATTCGAGGGTGCTGAATTCAAATACGTCGGGTGCCACTTTGTCACCCTTGGGGAAAGTGAGATACTCGAGATGGCGTCCAAGATGGCTGCCATAAATTAAAAAGTAGATATCTCGAAGTCGTACTTGTACTTGCTGAACCAAGTCATCATTACGCTGGTCACAAACATCAAGGATAGCCTGTTTGAAGGTTTTCTCAGATCCTCTATATGTTGTTATACACTTGACAACACGTCAATATTCACCCCAAAGGAGACATTGCTTCCTAAAATCAAACACATTCACTTCAGCTTGCCATATATTTTTCAGAGCAGGTTCTTCTGGTGTGACCCTATCATGCTTGGAAAAAAATCTTTGGATATGAGTCTTAGACACGTAGGTGGACACACAGTTTTTATGACAATATACAGGGTTAGTGTTCAGGTTGTGCACACTAGGCTCTATATGTTCATGAAAAATATTACCTCTAAGACAATATAGCATCAATTCTTGCGTGGGTAGCAGATATAAGCTTAGAATTATCTGCACTACATTTGAAGACAGCGGGGATTTCAGAAGCAACCATGATCTAATACATCATCTGAAAAAGAAAGACATTTAATAGTGATGCCACTACCAACGTTGATTACAATGTACAATATATGGATATACATATACATCACAGCTTTATCTGTAAAGGTGAACCACAATCAGAAATTACAGAACACGAAAAATGTATAATAATGTGCACAGTTTAATTAACAGATACAAACATCAGTCACATATATTTATTCACTGATGAGCAGTCTAACCATAAAATAAACTTTTTCGTGTATTCTTTAAATTGTTGTCAAAAACAACACAAAAATATCTTCTCTTCTTGGATATTTCTTTATCAAGTTGTTATTTTATTACAAAATCCTAGACTTAGATGGCTACACTGTTAATATATATCATTTATGGTATGAGACATTGAGTTGTTTTAGTTCTGGCGGCGGCCATTTTGGACGCCATTTTAAATATGACGCCGCACATTAAAAATATACAGTTAAACCAATTATTTTATTGAATTTCTCGACCTCAAAAACCAAGGTTTAGGCCCAAAGACGTCATTTCTATGTAATTTAGGAGCTAAGATATCTGCTTTTTAATTTATGGCAGCCATCTTGGACGCATTCTTGAATATCTCAATTTTCCCAAAAGTGACGAAGTGGCACCCGACAGATTTGCATTCATTCAGCACACTCGAATTGTATAAAATCAGTCATAAAACATTGTTTGTACACTAAGTCCAAGTTCAGCCCCAAATCACGGTTTGACCACCAAACTAATAACTGAACTTCAATAATGCAAAATAATGTGTAGTCATGAATTGTAAAGCAGAGTATATGAACATTGATTACAATGCTAATCAGGAATGTACTATAAACTAATAGTGATATATAAGTGTTTTGAACATATTGTGGTTATAAAAAACACATTCATTTATAATCTTAGCAAACTGTTTTCCAGTCAGCTAAACACAACTTAAAAATATAATATGCCTGTAATGGGACTTTGAAAAAGTGAAAAAATATCTTGTTAAAAATAGTATAGTAAAGATTGAGAGCAATGTACAATATATAATACCTTCCAAATCCTCTTGGAAGCAAGATCAGTATGTAACACATCATATACCTTACATGTATTATTTTTACTGCAGTATTTAAAAAACATGTCCAGAAGACAACAGAGATCAAACTCTTAAGTGAACTGTTCAGTACTTCAGTTACAAAAATACAGAAACAAACAGTAATGTACTTTAATAACCCCAAAGGAGTCTTGGGGGAATAAGTAAACTTTAAACCTTAGAAAATTCCTTATTGATGAATAATTAACAAATTGTATTTGTATTGTTCCATTTCTCAGTAAAACACATAAATATGAACAACATATTTCGGTGTATCTTCCACCGAAGTAGTGAACATAAATAATCAATGTATGTGTTACAGAATGTGTATGGGCGAAACTTTCCTCTAGACGGCAAGCACCTCCTTACACTTTCGAATTCGATGACGAGGAACCCACTTTGAAACTAATAATGGCTGGAGACGGCTTGAATGGGTAATGAAGAAAAACTTTAATATAAGTTTAACATAACAGCAAATGTACAACGTTTCGACAAGGTTTTGTCATCATGACTTTACACTGTACGCTAGCCTAGCAACCGTTAGTCCAATAACAGCAGTACCTGATTACATGAACTGTTGGCCAGTTGTATGTAACCTTTCTCACTGTCAGTGACCTTTAGTGACGTGTAACTGGTAGACTTGACGATATCTTAGGGTTAGTGAGATGTGATAACTAACTCCCTGAAATGGCTGTGTTTCTTCAATATACTTTTCTTGTATAATATTAAGTTTCAACTTGCGTTTCTACAGATAATCCATATATTAAAAGTGTGTGATAAAGTTATGTTTATATGAAACATTCACAGTTTGTAATCGTAAAGAAATACAAAGATAAGTTATAGTTGTAAATAGTATACATAAAATAACATTAATGTTATTTCTTCTAGTGTTATTTATTAATATTATTTTTTTCACTGTACTTTTCATTCTTTCAGGATTTTTAACAGGCTCCATTGGGTCTGAAATATTGTGTAAACAGGATATACACTCTTGGCAATTGAACAACTTTCACACCACCACGACCGCCCGTTTTTTGTTGTTGTTTGGTTGTCGTTACAGAGCAGGTACAGTGTCCATGCCAATAGGTGGACAATATAGTTGTAACTTGCCTTAGGATACATGACTTTGTGATCTGTTGTACTAGTATGGTATGGAGTATGTAATTTGTGTTACTAATACACCAATGTCCGTAAAGGAAACCATAAACAATTTAAATTCAACAGAGATACTTCGCATATGTAAGGAAAGAGTTCCTTTTTATTCTTACAAAGTAAACTGTCACCTCTTCAAAATGGGCTATCTGTGCTTTGCTCACCACGGGTTTTGAAACCCGGTTTCTAGGGTTATAATTCATCAGACATGCTGCTGTGCCATTAAGGAGCCAGCGGCAGAAGCAAAAATAGTATGTTATAATTACTGATCAAAGTTATAATTTCAGTTAATTTTTGGGTATCATCAATAGTTGAGCTAAACAGAAGACTATGATAAAATATTTACTACGGGGCGAACAAGGTAATGAATGGGTGTATATGAAAATTATGGAAAGTTAAAGAATTTTCTAAATCAACCAGTAAAAACTAAAAAGGCTAATACACTTATTTTTCCATTTCGACTTTTGTCCCAGCAAATTAGGGGTTGACCAAAAATTCTTATAAGAGATATTTACACCCAGGTGGCTAGCCTAATCAGCTACTATATAGGACGAGCATGTTCAGGGGCGGGGATTCGAACTCGCGACCCTCAGATTGCGAGAAGAAATGGAGAATGAAAAGGGTATTCATGTTATTCCTTTCAAAGACATACTGGTTATGTCGCCAGGCCCAGCGCCTATCTACGGAATTTTATGCGATCAGACTGTTGAAGCTGGTGCTGGGACACTGTTGTCCTCGTACACTAGACGGATTATGGAAACCATCAGGAAGGGGTGGCGTAATTTGTACATGAAAGCCGTACGTCGGAGCCTTTTGCAACGGAATGTACGCTGCAAGGAATATCATATTATTCTGCAGACACTTGCTTACATCTTATGCCATACCATTGTAATTATACTATTGTTAGCTTAAAAGTTACTACAACACAATCAAGTCTTTGAGCATGTTTTCAACATGATTTCAAATTATTTAATTTAGAAAAGTTATTAATCTTTATCAATCCACTTATTTAACCGTTTGTAACTTTGCTTAACTGAAGCATATTTTTAGTTCTTTTGGAAGTTTCCATATTTATTAAGGAAATATTGCGTGAGTTCAACTACAATTATAACAAAAATATAGCACTGAAGTCGATGACTACTGTTGACGACGATAGTAGTCCTCAATTTTATTAAATCTTTCAAGAAATATGACAACAGTAATATCATATAGGGTTAAACCGAGCAGCATTTTAGAAACCCTTCTAACAGTATCGTCAGATTTCGAAAACCTTTAGATTTCAGAGAAAGTTGGGCGAGCGCAAAATTCCTCCATCTTTTAATCTCTCGCATCTCGTAACATTTGAATCGCTTGTCACATAGTGTGTGTGTGTATATATACTTGGTTTAGCTGGATGAGAGTGACGTTTTTCGGGTTTTTTTGTTGTTTTTATTTCAGTGTGTCGGTTACCATTTGAGAAATCATTTTCCCAAACTGTGTGGGATACATTAGAAAAATTCAACAGCTTTTTTTTTTGTGAGGTGCAGTTGTTGATGGCGTCTGCTGCTTTTGATTAAACAGAAGTCTTCACAAAGTTTTCCGCATTTGTCTAAAAGAAGCTGAATTTGTTATGGAATTTGTTTCTTTGGTCGGTTACCACTAAAAGGTGGACTCTAGTTCTCAGGTTTCAACTGGCAAATCTTGCGCCTCCACCCCTTTGACAGCTGGTTTCTTCTCATGGTCTTGGTGCTGCTGCTCAATAGGCTGCTGTTTCTGATGGGCTTTCGTTTTACCTGTGCGAGGCTTACGAAGAAAGCTTAATTCAAGTGTAGTACCTTTGTTTTATACACGCAACATCGATCTAGTTATTTGGAGAGACGCACGTTGCGAGTAACCTTAAGATGCATTTGGCTAATGTGAAAGAAAAAAAACGATTTCCTTCTGTGTGCCTGTGTATTTATTTCTGTTTACATTAACTTATCAGTAAAGAAAATAACAAAAGAAAAAAAGCCGACAATTAATTTTCATTGCCCTCTAAGCATGATACAATTTCACTAACAAATCATACGTGGGCTATCAATATAGAATTCCATACACACTCACTTGACTTATATATGAATACAGTCTGCGTATAACATAAAATAAAATAGTCCACTTATATTCATACTTTGTGACACTACTCACATATTTGAAATTTTCGGTATTTCCTTCGATAATAAAGATTTTGTACAATAAACACAATAGGTGTACAATAGTGTTTTCTAAAGTGCACATAACCTTACAAAATAGTGATGTATTGTAATAATCACAATACTGAGTACTAAAAATATAAATTCATAAAACATAATTCAGTTGTTAAACGGCCAGGCATGGCCAGGTGGTTAGGGCACTCGACTCGCAATCCGAGGGTCGCGGTTTCGAATCCCCGTCCCACCAAACATGCTCGCCCTTTCAGCCGTGAGGGCGTTATAAAGTGATGGTCAATCCCACTATTCGTTGGTAAAAGAGTAGCCCAAGAGTTGGCGGTAGGTGGTGATGACTAGCTGCCTTCCCTCTAGTCTTACACTGCTAAATTAGGGACGGTTAGCGCAGATATCCCTCGTGTAGCTTTTCCGCGAAATTTTTTGCGCAGATTGCGAGTCGAGCTCCCTAACCACCTGGCCATGCCGGGCCGCAAACACGTTCACGCCACGTATTGGTGTGATGAATGTTGCATGGGTTAGGGGGAAAAAAAGTGAAAAATAACCTTGCATTAGCAAAGTTCGTAACTATTTGTTTGTCTGTCCGTTTCTTCTTCCATATCGCACCATCTGCATTTCATTGTCTGAGTTTATTATAGTCGTTGAGGTGTAAATAAGTTAATTAAGCTCGTTCACTATTCATGGATACATTTTCTTCATCGAGATCTTCTGAGCAATCGATGGCAACTTCCTAAATAAATTTCATATTCGCTGGTGGTGGTGGTGGTGGTTCGCAAGCTTTCAAAACATTATAAAGGAGGAATTGAGCTTGTTAACATAATAAGCATAACTCCACGCCAAGTACAGCAGTAGAGATATTACAATTAAAACACAAACCCTGTTCGCACGAAAAAAAAGAAATATATTGGTACCTTGGATTGAGTAATTGTTGAAATCTTTGCACGAGATTGTGTTGATAATTTTTCATTTCATAATAATCAAACTGGATACGTGTATTTTATTCACTTCTGAATGACCTTTATCCGAATAAAAAAACTATTGAATTACACAAGCTGTCCTAATAAGAAAATTAATGTTACTTTTTGTTGATATTATAACTATTAGAGTCAGTTTATTGTATCCGCTTGACATCTGTTTTTCCAGTAATAAACTTTTAAAAATTGATACTAATAAATCTTCACAACGTTTTACCGGAAAACCTCGCTGAACAGGTAAAGGTGACTTGCTCACTAAAACTTAATAAAACAACTACAATAATGCTATTTTTCTTCATTGCTAGTTTGAGGTGTGAGCAAACAAGTGCACGCCCTTTCTAAATTCCTCTCTATTTTTGGAAAACTATATGTCTATATAAAATTGAAATATTGAATTTCTTTTTTAAGTTTAAAATTTCTGGTTAGCATCGCACCTTATGACATATTAAATCATTCAGTGGCTAACGCTTATTGCTTCAGTTATTTATACCTGATATTTTGTTTGTTGTTTCTTGAAAATACAGACAAAAAGGAGATGCGAATTTAGATTGTCCCCTGAAGAAGAGAAGCGACTGGACAACTGGTACTTATTCCAAAAATATGATACTTAATTGCAAGCCTGGCTAAGCCTGATAATTAGGGCGCTCGACTCCCAATTTGCGCGTCGAGAGTTCGAATCCAAATATCAGACATGCTCGCTCTTTCAGCCATAGGGGCGTTATAATGTGACGGTAAATCCCAGTATTCGATTAGAGTGACACAAGAGTTGGTGATGGGTCGTGTTGACTAGCTGCCTTTCCTCTAATATATCACTTCTAAATTATGGACAGCTAGCGAGGATAGCCCTCGAGTAGCTTTGCGCAAAATTCACATATATATATATACATACATACACATGCATATATATAAAAAGGCACACTGTTAGACAAATAGACAGCAAGTGAGTTTAGATATTGGGATGTAATTTAACCACGAATCGTACATGTTACTCTTTGTAATTGAAGGTAAATGTGATTTAAAAATTAAAAAGTTCCATTAGAGAAAAAAAAACTGTTAGAACTTAAAAATAATTCACCAGATTCATACTTAAAATTCATGTATTCAAAGTAATGCAAATAAACTAAAATCATCTTGGATTGTTCGACTACTTTAAAATTGAAATAAGCTTAATTCGACACTTCTTCCTATTAGCAGCTCAGTATATTTTATATTGTCTACTGTTGAAGAACTTGCTGTCAATCAACCTCTGCAAAAAAAATCGTATTTCACATAAATTTAAACTTTTGGACGTGGTCGGAACTATTAAACATTGCAATGTTACACATAAGTGCATTACCACTTCTCCTAGAATCAAGAGGGAATCCTGAATAGCCGCGGCACTTGACGTTCTTTTAGGCAGGATTAGAGTAAATTAATCTGTGAGACCTTTTGTTTTATTTTTTGTTAGCTATATTTTTGTGTGCCAGCTATACCAAGCGTGTAACACACACAGATACCCGATTCGATTTTATTACTCATCAGGATCTTTACCAGTCTACCCTCAAATTTAAATTATTTTAGGCAGGATTAGCGTAAATTAATCTATGAACGTCAATTGAAAGGGTTTAACTTCCTAATTTCTAAAACTGTAATTAGATCTCAAATCGGTCAAGAGATGACGGAGCTATGGACTACAAGTTTGTACTTGAAAAAAACAATAAACACTCAGAGCCTTTCTATGAACCGCTGTGTCGCGGCTAAAAAGGAAAAGAAAGAAAAATACATAACCTATATTCAAATTGTTGTACAACTTTTCAAAATACTGATTTAATGTAACTGATGAGCTTCTTACTTAAATCATTTAATAAAAAACAATGGGAAGAGTAATCCTAATACCACATAATAAAAATATTTGGTATTTTCAACCTTATGTGACATGTGGGCTAAATGTTTAAGTCAGTGACTCCTCGATGCAGTCATAGTGCCAAATTTAGACCAACTGGCCAGTTAGAGCACCTACCACCTTCACGTCTACTCTTAAACGAATAGTGGAATTAACTGTCACTTTTATAACCCATGCTCTCAGAGCTAAAACTACAAAATGTATTTATTAGCATATACCATAGGTTAGAATCTTAGACTTTCCGATACACTGTCCGGAACGTTAACTAATATATCACGCCCGCCTTTCTATTGCAGAAACTCCATTAGGAAAATTTAACTATTTCAATTTTTCATTTCAAGTTATTAAGGTAGAGTCATTAAGTGTACATAGCTTGGATAATTTATGAACTTCTGTGAGGTTTTTACGAAACCTTGCATATTAAACGTTTTACGATTTATTCGATTTTAGCACCAAAAAAATGTACGTATAAAACCAATTTAAAAGCAAAGATGGATTCTCTTCTTTATTATAGCACTCAATAAAAGTTTTGGAAATAATCTACATTGTCGAAACTAAACGTAGTTAAATATAATTTTATATGGTGACCCCTAGTCAGGAATCACAATATACTAGTCCAACTTAATCGAAAACCGGTGACCTGCTGGGTGTTTTTCTAATTATTTTTCGAGTTACTAAGCAGAGTGTGCTTACGCTTCTACTATATATTAGTATTTCCTACCTAATAGATTAGATATATGTGAATTGCAAATTCGATTGGAT